TTTTGCTTTGAAATTACGTTATTTTTTACTCGGATTAAACTGATAGTAAAGTTTATATTAAACCTGTAACTGCCCCCTCTGGCAGTAGACTTCCATATGAACGGTGCAAAACGATTTTACTGGATTTGAACTGTCTAAAAGAAAGCGGTAGAAACATGTATGAAGAAAAGGTTCTTTTTTTATAACATGATTTTTGAACTTTTTTCAAGTAATGCAAACAAAGAGGTTTCATTTTTTTCTTTTAAAAAGTTTATTCATGAAGAAAGAAAAGATTCTGTTGTTACGTCGAAAACTGCCTAATAGATCTTAGGATTTTAAATTGGAAATCAGTGTTTTGAAAGCAAATTAAAGGTATCTAACAGGAACAAAGTTACACAAAATTTGTAAAAGACACGGTATATTCGGTTCAAATATGCCATTTTTCTAATATGATGTCAGCATTGACGAAGGCACTCGTTTAGGCCGGGCAAAACAAAGTTTTATCAGCTGAATCAATCCACGTTGTCATAGTCGCTTTAAAATTGGTTCTCAACCTTTTTCACTCAAAAGTTTAATTTCAAAAATTTAAAAATTTTATTTTTGAAGTTGCGATTGTGAATATTTTCGCTAAACTTAGATTCTTTCCTTTTCCTTCAAGCGTTTATTTAAAAAACATACTGAAAAAAATGTTTTTACTCATAAATTTATGGAACTGCTTGTAAATTTTGGGTTGTTGACGTCAAACGAACAGCTTATTAATTGAACAGAGTATGCTACCTTCTGTCAACCAAAATTTACGTGCGGTACGCATCAAGAATAGTAAAAAGTAAATAGAATACTAAATTTTTAAGACAGTTTGATTATTAGTTTTCAAAAATTTTCTAATCACATAAATTAATGACAAAAAATTAATGTGAGTTTAAATTCTTGGAAGTTGATAAGTCACTTAACTATTTTTACTGCATAAAGATTATGCTATAAGGTTAGCTGCATTTTAGGCCGTATACTCATCTTAATCAAGTGATGACTGTAAATACAAAACTTTAAAATTTCAAATTCTTTTATTTTGTTTACTTTCAAAACACAGTTATTTCTAGTTGATCAAGTAAAAAAGCTGAGGGCAAGTAAGATCTTCTAAGATAGTGCCGACTTGTTAAAGTCACTCTGTTGAGCATAGGTCTCACAGCTGATTTGTAACAACCAATAATTACTAGCATACGATTTGAGTCCACTCAGGTCGATCTACTTTTCCGTGCTGAAAAGACACCAAGAATTTAGTCAGTTCAGATGGTTCAAAGTAGTACCGTATGATTCAAATCCCGTTAATGCTAAGACTTAAGATTTTTAGTCATATTGCTTTAATTGCTTTGACTCACCTGAATATCGGTAATTTGCTTATACAACCTTTCCATAACGCTGTTTTTGACATTACTTGGAAGTATCAGCTCCTCAATAGTACCTGTTTGTTTATTGTTGTACAAAATTTTTTCCACGGGCGTTACTACACAAGCTGTTCCAGAACAAAACATTTCATAAACCTAAAAATATGCACAACTTTTCGCGTAGACGTTAAAAGTTCTTTTTCCATCACTGTCAACGACAGAAGATACAGTTAGTTCAAGATTTCATAAACAGAACCAGTCTAGACATCAGTAACAGTTTGCAGTCAATATTTCATTGAAATGTGATATTGTTATTAAGTTCTGTTTTCTATTGTTTCTAGATACTGATTGTCTTTTACATCAAGTTTTTGTTATACTTTTTTAAATTATAACTTTCAAACTGTTATGAGAAGAATTGCTAAAATAAAGGAACAACGGTACTCTTGTTTAGGTTCAGTTTAAAAAGTAGTAAACAAATTTTACAGAGAATTGAGAGTAAGTTAATATTCTGGTATTGTACAAAAATGTTATAAGGGTGAACATTATAATCATATTCGTGCTTGATTTACAGTTTTTCCTCTGAATTACTAAAGAATCAAAAAATTACTCGTTTGTTTTTAACGGCTTCACGGAATTCGCGCATCCCAACATATTTTTCAGTAACTTTAATGTCATCTTTCCATTCACGTGCGAGATGTAAAATACTTTCTCTGGTGACGCCGGGAAGAATAAGACCTTCGCTTAGTGGTGGAGTAACTAATTCATCTTCTGTAGATATATGAAAAGTGTAAAAAGTTTTACTTAATTTCTAGCTTATTATTACTGTTGTTTCATCAAAAAATTAGCTCTTTTTTAGTACTGTCATGCGCTTCCTCTTCTCTAAAAAAAGTTGATAAAGAAATGTTTCTTACAATTTTTTGCCAAACGTACATGTCTCTCACCTCCATGATTATTCTTCCACATAAAAAAGATGTTTGTTGCGCCGACCTCAGTAATCAGTTCATCAGGGCCATAAAGCCATAAAACTTGCTGACATCCTTTTGTTTGGGCTTCTGTGCTTATCATTATTGATGGTCCATAGTTACTCAAAACAAGTACAATTATGACATTTTTTTTGTTATAAAAAAAATCATTTTTTAGAATACTTCCTGACTGAGATAGAACTTCTTAAAGGTTCAGTAAGTTCTCTGTTATTTGCTTTCTTCAATAAATTGGCAATAAGCAATGAGTTTTTCAAAGCAAAAAAAAAAA